ATGGCGACGCGGCCCGCCGGCCCCCGCTGACACGCTCCCCCGGGGTGCGGTGGCCTCGGGCCGCCCGAGGGAGGGCTGCGCGCGGCCCCGGGCCTGCTCGCCGCGCGGCTCCGCGCGTCCCGGGCCAGGAAGTGGCGGCGCCGAGCGCCATGGCGCACTCCCCGGTGCAGTCGGGCCTGCCGGGCATGCAGGTAGGCTGGGGCGGAAGCGGGCAACTCGGCGGTGTCAACACGCCTGTCCTCCCCCTCCCGCCGCGCGCCCGGCGCGTCTCCCGGATCTTCGCCGACCCGGGCGGCGGGCGTCTCGGGGGTGCACACGTGGAGGGCCGAGGTGGGGTGCGGGTGCTCCCAACTCCGCCGCGCAGGCCGCCGGCCCCTGCGGAGCGGGAGCGGAGCGTGTCCTTGGAGGCCCGGCCGGGGAGGCCGCGTGCGGGCCGGGCCGGGGGCGGCGGACCCCCCGGGGATCCCAGGCGGGACACCCGAGCGCTGGGCGGCGAGCGCGCCCTCCCCGGCCGGGCGGGCCGCAGGGCGGGGTGCGGGAAGCCGTACCCTGGCCTCCGAGCCTGTAGCTCTGGTGTGGAAAGTGCGAGGTTGCAAACCTGGGAGGCGGAACCCACACCTCCGCGCGCGCCCGGGCGGGGGAGGACAGGCGTGCGGAGCCCGGGTCACCCCTCCCGGGCCACGACTTTCGCTTTGGGACCCGCGGGGTGCCAGCCGGCCCCTCAGCCCAAACTTTGTAGCCCGCTGGGGACTTTGCCTTTGGAGGGGAAGGGGCGGCCAGGGGAGTTGGAATTTAAATTCACGTGAATGCAAGAACTTTTTTTTGGTTGTTCTTGTTTTTGCCGTGGAGGTCTTCGAAAAATAATCACTGGTCTGTGCTTAGTTGTGAAGTTTGTAAGCGCAAACATTCTGACAGATGATTGAGATTAAGACCGCAAGACCAGTCAAAGTTTTGCTTTCCCAGGCGAGTGAATAGAAAAGTAAGTTTTGCTAAGACAACCCAAAACATTCAAGAATATTATCAGTTTATACGTGCAACAGGCTTGCCCTCTCGGGCTCCAGGGTTGATCCGCACTCCCGGGCCTCTGTCTCTCACTTCTGCCTGCCTCTTCTGAAGGTATTTCCCATCCCTCTTTTTTTCTTTTTAATACATTGAGAAGGAAACTGGAATTCAGAGTTACCACTTAAGTGGCCGCTAGAACTAAAGTAATTTTTACTTTTTAAAGAATAAAAAGTTGGGATGTGACTGCAAGGATGTTGGTGAAGTGTTGTTGAGCCTCCGCTTGTGTGATTTGTAAAACCTGACGCTCCGGTGAATTCAGCTGCGGCCGCGGAAAGCTCCTGTCTTGGTCTGAACTGAGAGGCAAAAGGTCAGGGTGAACTGGGTGACAGTTTCTTACCTGTAGAGCGGGGAGGACCTCTTGGAACAGTGAAAAAACTCGGTTCTAAAGTGTTGCCTTCATTCTGGCTGCTATGGTGACTGAGCCGCACAGTGAGCCTAGCCCTAACCTTTGTGGAAGAGTTTTTGAAGATTCTTCATCTGTCTCGGTGAAGCCAGTACCAGGCGCTTCCTGGGTGGGATCTGCTCTCTCGGTTTTTTTTTTTTTTTTTGTTTTTTTTTTAAAGACTGTCCCCGAATTCTTCATCTTTGGAAAAGAAAAAATTGAAAACTTTACAGAAAAAGTTTATTTCCTAGGTGGTCTTCAAAGGAAGGCCATTTTAATTTTGCTCTTCAGTGTGAAGATAACTTTCTTCAGTGTATTAATTTTTTGTCTGTTCTGGTTCCATGGAGGGAGAGAAGTGACGTCTCACAGGCATTCTTGCCCTTGTGTACATCTTTAAACCACATGATAAATTTTTGGTTTATTATTGGAGACTGTTTCTTCCCTTCCCCTCCCCCAGAAAAGAATAACAAGCACGTTTATTTTCAACTTGGAGTCAGCAGCTGCAGCCTCCTGGAGGCAGGAGCCGTTTGAGGATTATGTTAAAAGTCGTCTGGCCTTGACTCTTGTCTAGTGTAAAACTGGACAGAAATAGGCATGCCCTTTGCCACTCTTCTGAGCCTCCCTGTCCCTCCCGGCTAGGACTGAGGAGGAGCTGGGTCAAGTTCTTAGTCAGGTTGGGTGTGTTGGTGGCTGTCTTTAATCCCAGCACTTACAAGATGGCAGAGGCAGGTGGGTCTCTGTGAGTTCCAGGCCAGCCAGGGTTAAGAGTGAGACCCTGTCTCAAAAAACAGAACAAAGTTTGGCCAGAGAGCAGATGCAGACTTCAGGAAAGTAACCTCGATCCAGGAATGCTTTAGAGACTTTTTATGGCTGGCTAATTATTTTATATCTGTTGATTATTACTGGTACTGACGGAGGAAGAGGTGAGCTTTCTGTTAGAGTTTTATAGCTTGTGAATGAGAAAGGAATTGGATGCGTGGTGAGAGTGTATTGGGTGACAGGTGTGGTTAGAATCCAGGTCTGTTGCCGGTTCACCAAACTCCGCTGTTGTTTTATTGTTAGTTTTGCAAATATTACCCATTTTGTTTTAGATTGTGTTTGCTGAATGAAGTAGAAAAACAAGATAAAGGCAATCAGTAACCATGCTTGAAGACCCTGGTGGTGTTTGTTGAGGGAGATACTCTGGCTGTTTTGATGTTTTCTTCCCCTTTGGGTTTTGTAGTATGTGGGAGAATTAGAAATTATGAGTGTCCGGGTGGCCTTTAGTCCCAGCACTCCTGAAGGCAGAGGCAGGCAGGTCTCTGAGTTCAAGGCCAGCCTGAAGTGCAGAGCCAGTTCCCAGACAGCCAGGACCACACAGAGAAACACTGTCTCGAAAAACCAGAAAAAGAATGAGCTGACTGAGGGGGGGTGCGGCAGTTGTGAAGTGCTTCCTGTCCTTATCAGTGTTTCACTCATCGAGTTCCAGGGAAATAAAAACTTCAGTTGGAGGAGAGACACATTCACTGCTTTGAGTTTGCATTATATTTTGGTGCAAAAAAATTAACTTTTTGCAAGTCAGGCAGTGGTGGTACGTGTTTTTAGTCCCAGCACTGAGGAGGCAGTGGAGGCAGATCTTCGAGTTCAAGGCCAGCTAGTCTACATAGGTAGTTCTAGGACAGCCAGGACTACACAGAGAAACCCTGTCTGGGGGTGCGGTGGGGGTGTCCTAAAGAAAGAATTAGCTTTTTGCTTATAATTTTTTTTTGGTACAAAGTGTTGTGTGTGTCTGTGTCCGTCGCCGTCTCCTGGGCAGTCAGGGGAGGACCCCGCCGGGTACAGACGGCTGTGAGCTGAGCTGTGAGTACTGAGAAGCAAACTGCGCTCTTCTGCAACAATCCACCCAGCAGCGGACTGTCGACCAGTGGGTTTCTGTAGAGAGTCTGCTAGCCACGTTTACAGCTTTTCTGGGCTGGGACCCTTGTAGGACAGACTTTACACCAGGACCAGAAACTAAAAAAAAAAAAAAAAAAGCTGTCTGTAACATTGAATTGATTCCACTGCTCACTGGTTTGTGTACCTAGGTTTAAAATATAATGAATTAGTTAAGGCACAGGTATGAGAAGGCTGGAGTTTAATTCAGCATGTTTTGAGACCCTTGTGTTTGCAGGCATAGATAATAAAAGACAAAGCTAAAACCTTGTCTTTTCCCTCCTCCTCCCGCTCCTAGGCTACAAGCCCTTGCTGTGAGCAGGCTTGGACAAGCCTGGTGGCCAGGAGGTGCTTACTAGCACATTGGAGGCCTGGAAATAGGACATCGAGCCCCCTGAGTTGCTCTGGCCCTGTCCACCCACCCCTCCCGAGTGTGGCCCTTTTCCGTCAGCACCTAGGCCTGCCACAGCCAGGGAAGCACAGGGGATGTGCCAAGGGCTGTGCTGTGTGTGTCCCTGGCACTGGGGGTCAGTAGCTCTCATCGGGCATGCCGTAAGAAGGGTCCAGTAACTGGGGCCCAGGAGACTAGGTGCATGTTTGGAGAGCACCAGGCTTCTGTAGAGGAGAGGCAGGGTTTCTAGGCCTGCTCTGGCTAATGCCTGGGCACTGTGCTGGGCATTTTGTTCTTTGAGTTTTCTGTATCCTCAGGCATAGGGTGTGTGTCCACTGAGAGCAGAAGATGCCCAGGGTGGGGAATCATGGGCACGGGTGTAGGACAAGACAGCTCTGGAGGACTTTCAGACATTGGTGACTTTGGTTTTGTGGCTGATGAATGGTGTTACTACTCTGTCACATTTTGCCTTATTCGGTTGTGCTGCTGAAAAATAATTGAGGAAAGTCAGGTGCATTGTCCTGTTTCTTCAATCTTTTTCTTAAGATCTTCATGTTGCTCAGGCCGGCTTTGAACTTCTAGTCCTCCTGTTTCCACCTCCTCAGTGCTTGGCACTATTTTTTTTTTAAAAGATTTATTTATTATGTAAAGTGTTCTGCCTGCATGTGTGCCTGCATGCCAGAAGGCACCGAATGTCATTATAGATGGTTCTGAGCCACCTTGTGGCTGCTGTTAATTGAACTCAGGACCTTTGGAAGAGCAGACGGTACTCTTAACCTCTGAGCCATCTCTTTAGCCCCACTTGGCACTATTTTTTTGGATACTTTATTGGGTTATTTTATCTACCGCCCCTCTCCACCCCAGTCCTCTCCCCCCCCCCCCCCCCCCCCCCCCCCCC